GACGAAGCGGAGTCCAGCCCGGGGTCATCACATGTGGTTGCCGCAAGCCCGCTGGACGCTCCTTCGTCGAATCCGCCACCTCTGCTCACTTTAGCCCCCGGCCTCTGCTCACTCTAATGTTCTTTTTAGCAGCATCATATGACCCCTTTAAGGTGAGGATCTAAGTGCAATCAGGTCTTTAATAATAAACAAAAAAAGTAATCCGAGAATTGTAAGTAATCCAAAAGGTAAATGCAAACATAACAGCATTGTATAACAAAGTCAACGACTGACAACTCAATGAGCAAACACAAGGGTTTTATATATTTACACTCTAAATATATACACAATGGGATAACTAGGAACTTTACGAGACACACTAAACCCTAATGCCTAAATTTATATTCAGCATGGGAAAATCTTACAAATTAGTTGAAATTAATTAATATTGATGAGTAATAATTCAGTTTCCTCTGAGTTTAATGAACTTGTAAGGCTCTCAATTCATCTACTTTTACAATGCCCTAAAATACTCTTTTTGAGAGGAAAAAAATGTTGCGTGTGTAGCAGAAGAATAGGCAAGCTTTGGGATATACTGCCACGTCATAAAATTGTGCTCTGTCGCATAGTTACATTCTGTCACTGTAAAGAGCCTGTCAATCATTCTGTCACAGTTAATACCCTCAAATACACACTCCACATATTATATCATTTAATTTTAACTACTCAAATAATTCTTCCTACAGATTTGGAAAGAAAACAATGTTAATCTGCCTGCTTTTTTGCACAATGCTTCATTATGCAACAGTTCATGGACACATGTAGGCTATAAGTTTTGCTATTGTACTGTTTGTATCCTTACAAAAGTTCACAATGATGTTAAAGAGGAAATATAACATATACATTTATAATATTTTTTTCATACGGTTAGATATTGCTGAATAATCCTTACTCTATTTAACTGTCCATTACACAAACATCCTCCATGTTTGTAGTTCTTTTTATTCATGTTTGTATTTCTGGAATGAATCCTCATTCAAAACGTAATGGATTGTGGGCAATATTATTTATTAGAGCAGGGGTCTCCAACCCTGCTCCTGGAGAGCTGCAGATTTCAGCTCCAACCCCAATCAAACACACCAAAACCAGATAATCAAGGTGTTCAGGGTTACTTGAAAATCACAGGCAGATGTGTTAGAGCTGGAAATGAAGTCTGTAGGACTGTAGCGCTCCAGAAGATTGGAGATTCCTGCATGAGATTGTGTATGGATCCACACAATGAAAATCTACCAGAAATAGCAGACCATTGTCCAG